CCCCAAAACCCCAAAACCCCTAAATGCTAGCTTGTAAAAGAATTGAATGACTATATAAATAAGTATAAACTCCCGTGAAAGATAGTAAATTGAATGTCCTCGAATAAATTAACTTAAATATTTTACATTATTCCTATGGATATATAATCTATATTTCTGTAAAATGAATAAATGGTACAAATTAGCTCTTCAAACTTAACCTTAAGATTACTAATGGTTATATTTATGAGATATCCACATACTCACCACGGTAATGTCATCTGGCTTCCCTTTACCATAACACATACTCTCAAAATCTTATTCAGATTTTAGTAGAGTTTCAGCATTGGCTAATTCAGCGTCTTCTAACTATGATGAAGAGCTGTATCGAGCCAAAATCGATGAATTATTGGGCGAGTAAGAAGTATCGTTTCCACCTATTGATGGTGGCGAAAGAGATTACTATAGCTGTTGCTATTCAGCAATTTGTTGAAGTTTTTATCTGTATTCTATGATTACTTTTGCTTTTTTTACATTGAAGGGTGTTTTAACATTTCTTTACTTTGACTTCGTCTATGCAGATTCGACAATCAACTAAGACAATCGCTATGCAGTCTACTTTGACTTCACTTAATCTGTTGAGGTGAATTCTTTGACTATAGTCAAGATCTCCTCTTCAAATAGATTGTCAAAAACCCCATCAGTACCTAGGATCAACAAATCCCCCTCTCTTACTCTCAGTTGATAATTATCCGAGTCATCGGGTGAGTCTTCACAGAACTTTCTCTCTTTCATGGCTTTTTTCAAATTTTCAAGTTCTTTCTGTTTATTTTGACTTTTCAATTATTCCACTTCCTTGTGCTAGGGTAACCTTGTAAGTTGAAAGGGGGTGTTGAAGCTGTGCTATTACTCTTTAGACTTTAGCAATATGTAAGGCTCGTTTTCTATCATATCAAATCTTATTAAAATGAAACCTGAATCACCTAAGTTTAGCGCTGATAAATCCCTATTATTTAATACGCAAATTGTAGCAGTTGCTGAACCTGGGAAATGAGTCCTTCTAAAGCCTAAGAATGTCATTTTAATGGAATTTACTGAATTTCAAAATATTAGTTGGTGAGAGATACTTTGATTGCATTGCTAGCAAGGAATTTGAGCTACTATAATACCTGCTCTCTTAGATATGACTGTTGATAGAGAAGTCTGAATCCGAGCTCTTAACAGAATTTAAGGATTCCATTGAGGCTAAAATAATTTAAGTATTTAATATGAAATTACTCTCAAGTGCTTAGCGATGGCACTCTAGTTCCTACTAAGTCACTCTCTGATCGATCAATGACTATTGCTGCCTGAATACAATTCGCTGGATGAATTTCTAGCATTCTCTCATCAATGTGTTTGAAAAGAGAGAGCAATCAATTCCGTAGTTTGTCCAACTTCCCACACCGTCACTTACTCCAGCGCCAATATCTGTTATAAAGAAAGCATCTTCTGAAGGTCCACGTTAATTCTTAGAAATTTGAAAGCCATCTCCAATGAAAATAAATTGATCTTCGTCTGCTCTCAAAGATACTGAGTCAAATCTTTATAACTAAGATTTTTGCTGGGATGTTACGTCATCTTAATTAGATATATTCTTATCTAAGTATGTTGAATCTTGTTTAGACACGACTTGGGATCCTTGGCAGTCATAGACGCTATAGAGACTTATTTTAGCGGTTCTTAACTGCAAATAATTCACGTCGAATTTACGTCTTTTACCATTAGTTTTTTATGATTCAATCACTTGATTGACAATGTTTGCATTCATGATTATTTAATTCTTTTCGAGATTAATGGACGAAGAATGGTTTTAGTATAAATTCTTTTTTAACTCTTTTCCTTGATCTGTTGCAAAACATTTTATTTGGTCCTGCTGAGTGAGACCAACGATTTTTTACCCTTGCGGGGTCTTCTTGAGAGCCTTAGGTTTGCAGATTAGTGATGCTCTAGGGTAAGGGAGATCAAAGAAGGTGTTGTTTTCGTATGGGCCATCCTAATTGGATTAAGGCATGATAGATTACTTTAGTTTTAGGGTAATAGTTAGAAATATCATATTTTCCGTCTATCACAAACTTGAACTGACTGTGCCGAGGCATCAGAATATCAACATAGTAATAATTGATCGTCTCTGAGTATTTCAAAGTTAATTGGCGCTATAAAATTAGGTCAATTACAGCACAAAGAAAGAATTAAGTTAGCGAATGATCTGACGGAATCATTTGGTAATATAAATAGAGATCATACTTACCTACCAATTAGGCTCGCTAAAGTTGCCAACTATAGAGACCTTGCGATTCCTATCTTATTTGGCCTTCCTAAAAATGACAGAATCTTTCTCTATCCAGAAAATCCTAGTCATTAGTAAGCCCTAGGTCAGCCATTTTCTGATTTTATATCTTCGCACTGATCAAATTATGATCATCTAAAAGTTTTTAGGTTATTTATTTAAATTAATGAATTCCGAAAGCCCAACTTCATTTCTCAGTCTTGTAATGTATATTTTAATAACAAGCCCGAAAGGGAAGTTTTCTTAGGGCAGAGAATGAAGTGGTATAATTTATGAAAACTTTAGCTAAATACATACCTAGGCAGTGATTATTTTGGTCGAGTATTGTTCAATAAACATGCTTCGTAGCTGCCTCCATCTTTTCAGAAGAGCCAATATTTTAAGAGCTGCTTCTCTTATATTTGATTCACTCTTTAAATTTTGAGGCTTATTTTTCTGTGAATAAGTAAATTTTAGTTTACTAAATCTATCAAGCTCACTCATTAGATTAAACTATGTTTTATTATATTATTGTGTCTCTGCTATTTGAATCATAAATATGCAAATATATAAAATATCACTATTAATTGATTAAATAATTTACTTTTGAGGAGCCATACTTAGGAATCACTCTGATTTAAACCACTCTCGTCATCACTATACACGGCTCAGTTAGAAACTTAACTTTCTTTTAAGAATCGCCCTTCACATAGTTTAATAATTGAAAGAGCTTTAAAGTGCAATCAAGTAGCATACCGCATTGCAGCTTCACCTAGGCAAATGGATTAGGTAGTAGAAAGATACTGCTGAATTGATGATAGTTTCTAGAGTATAGACTGACAATTAATTTTATAAAATAACCTAAAGACTGAGTCTACACCTTAAAGAAAAAATAACTCCGAGATTTTCTGATAAACTCTAAGAAATTATATGACCGATAATCAGAATCTTAGAGATTGGAACTGTAACTTATTACATCCAAATCATGGCGGTAAGCTTAATAATTCGATTCAAATGAAAATTCAAGCGAAAAAGGATATAGAAATTATATAGAGCTAATAATTAAGTTTCAATTGGTTTCATATAGTATCTCAAAATAACACAACTTATATATCCTAATAGGATGACTAAAAATTTTCATATAATTGCGTCTTAAGGAAAGTAAGTACAGTTAAAGACCACTGTTGAATTTTAAGTCAATTAACTTTTAAGACTATTAAATTTATATACTTTATCTCCAATTCACTCTGATGTCGACTAATTAACCTTACGGGGTTTTGGGGTTTTGGGG